TGTGATAGAGGGAGAATGTGATTTGCTAAATGGAAAAGCAATTTTTGATATTTTTCTTCCTGTATGTGTCTTGTCTGTTAACCATGAGAATTAAAAAAAATTATAAAATGGGTTCAAGAACTATGATAGGCCACTGACCAAGTTGACTCCATGTGTAGTCTCAATATTATGAAAACATTCTTAAATTTATTATTGGTCAACATATTTTTCTGTTGCCATTATTCATTCATTTCTCTAATTTATCTTGTTTTGTATTTCATATCTTTTGAAAAAAGTGTATTACAGTTGAAACTCATTATAAAGGGCTCTGATATAGCGAGATGTCTGTTTTAACAAGGTAATTTTGCTGGTCCCAACGCTCGATATATATATTTTACCCTTAAAGGGAACCAAAACCTTCATACTAAGTTACTTTTATTGTAAAGTTAAAGATATTTGAAAAATATCTGTGAAAATTTGAACAAAATCGGGCAAGGAATAAGGAAGTTAAAGCTTTTTGAAATGACTAGTCACTAGAGGGCAATATTCAATTTGATGACATCATCTGTGGACAACTCTCCATGCCTTTTGTACATCAAATTTCATGTTTTTCCTTCTTTCTTGTGATTGAGATAATCTACTCCCCTGAAAGCAAGATATAGAATGCAAAATTATATTTTACTTCACCGTTATGAAGTCGGATCAAGAACACAAATAAATACAAAGAAAACGAAAAAATTGTGAAATTTTATGTAAAAAAGGCATGGAGAGTTGTCCACAGATGTCATCAAATTGAATACCGCCCTCTAGTGACTAGTCATTTCAAAAAGCTCTAACTTCCTTATTCCTTGCCTGATTTTGTTCAAATTTTCACTGATTTTATTCAAATCTTTTAAACTTTATAATGAAAGTAACTTAGTATGAAGGTGTAGGTTCCCTTTCATATATCAAGGTAATTTCCACATTCCCCAGGATCTTGTTATAATGAGTTTCCACTGTATGTAATTATTAGGACAAGAGATAGAGGAAAATAATAACAAGACAAAAAGAATGGTTAAGAATGCAAGAAAGCACATTTACATTTATTTTTACATGGCATAAATGATAATGCATATGAATCACTTCATACTTAAAAAGAGTACTTTAACAAACCAATACAATTATGATAGTAAACACTATTTTGGTTGGTTTGTGCAGAGTATCTTGGCATGTGTCACACAAATAATCTCACATGCCACATTATATATATCATGCGATGGATAAACCAAAGCCTTATCTAACTGTTTCCAGTGAAAATTTAATCTATACCTGTGTTAAAAGTGTTGTCATTGAGCATAAATCAAGTCCTTAAATGGGTGGTTTTTAAAGCGACTGTGTTGCACAAAGCCATCCTTCGGTCGATTGTTGCCCCGTGCTTGAGCAAACCTGCAGGTGTGGCAAACAAGCAACTGTGCAGACAGGCGAAGAAAGCAATCAAAGTGTTAACAGCTATTCAATTATTTCTTTTATTTCTTTTACTTTCTTATTAAAGTGAATCATAAAGGACCAATCGCTCTCAAAGAGTTTAATAATAATAATTATAATATTCTGCTTTTATATAGCACCCAATACAACGATGAGCCCAAGTGCTTTACAGATATATTATTACACCGATGATCGGATTCAGGCTTACCGCACACAATGTATGCACATTTTCCACTCCCTGGGGAGTTTTTAGGCTGGTATATTAGTAGATGACCTAAAATCATTCACAAAAAACTTCTGAGACATTCTAAGGAAACAAAGCCTCACAGATAGAACTCGACACCTTGCCCATTTGAGAATACTTTTGAGAGTTTTGCCAATTTGCAGATTAATGTGGAAGTTAACGCTTAAGATTGTCAGGAGACTTTTCGATACGAAGGGTATCTTTGAATGAAAGAACTATAAGAACCATAATTCCTCTAATCAGAACACTATTAATATATTTCCTGTCTATTTCAAAACCTATCTCTGTTTTTTTCAAAAGTGATGTGTTTTTAATACTATCACATTTATATACATGTAATTGCATAAAAAGAGAACTTGCTTTTTGTATTTTATCAGCTACAATGTACAGAATAGAAGTGCATAAAACATTATTGAAAAATAGAGTTTATAAACATAGATACATGTAGTACAAAGACTGTAGTGATTAAAAATGTATGATACATTTATACAATACACACCAAGGCCTCCTTCAGATATGATATGCTGACAAACCGTTGCGTTAAAAGGAAAATGATGATTTAAAGTGTGACGCGAGTCGTATTTCTGTATCTTATAACACACAGAGCTCAGTGAATATGCGCAGAATGCAAAAAAGGTGTTTTACCATGTCATATCTGAACGAGCCTTAAGGTGGGGTGTGTCCCCCCCCCCCCCACCCCTTCCTTGACAAAGTAGTAATGCTAATGTAGAAAACAGGATAAAGATGGCACATAATTAAGGGTTATAAGATCATGTAAATTTCTCAAGGAATTGTTTCATCTCCAAGTCTGTAGTTCTAAAATTCTGTAGTTTTACAAAAATCCCCTAGTGTCTACACTTTATGATTACTTTAACAGCGTTAAGATTCTACATTTCTTCAAACTCTTAAAGGTAAAGACCAGTATTGGAAACGCCCCAATTTCAAAAAATGAAATGGAAGCTCTTATTACCAATCATGTGAAAGAATATGTTTTGACTATACATGATGATAACATTTTTGCCTGGAAACCGCCTACTAATTGATATATTTGGTAAATTAGTTTATCTACATGGTCTGTGACAGATACGCACGTGTCCCGCACATGTGCGTATAGTCCCATATACATCTTTCTGTGTACAGTGCTTGTAACTTTACAAAGACTGAGCCATATTTCTTATCATTTTCATGATTCCAGAACCTTGCAGTACACACCAATACTTATATGCTAGATGATCAACCTTTTCTGATCGATTCCACAATGTTTCTTTCACAATGCAATCCCATGACCTTAACTGGTCTTTACCTTTAATTATGTTACCGGTTATCCAAAATGATATTTTGTTAACATTTTCATGGTGCTTGTAGTTAATTTGCCTCAGTTTATAAATATTTTTTTGCTTTAGTATTTAAGAAAACACCCAACTTCAAATAGACACCTGTTAGTGTAAAAAAAATTATTTTAACAAAATTTATGAACTCATTGTTAAAATTATGTATGAAACAAGGATCTTTAATGATCTTCTTACTCAAGACCAAAACCACTTAAAAACATATACTACTAATTGGCACTTTGCAATTAAATGCAGCAGATTTCTCAATACCTGGTCAACATAACAAGATCACTTACTTGTTTTTGCTAGGGCATGGATAAAACACACATTCTTCACATTATATCATCTTTCCAAAATGGAACTGAATTAACCAATTTCTTATCGGTAAACGGTATGCTATATTAGGTGTTGTATTATCTTACAATAAAAAAAAAACACAACTATAAAGACTATAGGTATGTACACAAATGGCAAGTGTCACAGTGTGTAGGAGAAGTGCCTTTTGCATCTGTTGCATCGAAATTGTAGAACTTGCTACCTTCTACTGTGATTTAGCTCATGCTGCAATGATAATTATAAACATTTAGGTCAGTCAGGACCCCAATGACTTTTACAAGCCGATCGCCTGTCTGATTATCAAGATATTTATGATTGAAAATTGAAATCAAATTTTGCGTTTGCCAAACGGTTTTCATAACACTACAGTCTATTGGCGAAAACGTGTATGGTAAAACCGGTCACTCAAAGATTTTTACTTTTTTGAGGCACTTCTTGATCATTTTGAAGTGCAATTTTTGTAGGGCTTGAATGTAACACCATATCACAGACACTGATAACACGTCATAACATCTCAGATTTAAAATTGTTAAACGATCCCTTTAAGCTAGTGGCCCAATTGTGTGGAGCATTGATGTGTGCAGCGCTAAGTAACTGCAAGGAAAAAGGGCTATATTAAATATCTCTTAGATTGGAATGACTAAAAAACATGTTCACTTCCTGGACATTGAAAACCACTTGGCAAAAAGCCATGATTTTCTTTAATATCTAATGTGCAGATTGAGGACTCGCAAAAATAACAGAAATGCTATAATGAAAGAAAAACATTGAAGCTACGTGTCTTCTACACAGTGGTTAATTTTTATCAGGTATTATTCCACCATGATGAGCTCATTTCTAAAAAGGAAATTTTCTCAAAAAAACAATTTAGAAATGTAAGTACATCTACTGCACCTTGCTATTTAAGTGACATCCTGAAACTAAATTAATTTTGCAAGGTGAAGCATAAAATGTGCCAAATTCCCTTGATGAAACTTCTTACAATATCATTTCAATGTAAGAGCTACCCATGTGCAAGAGAAATGTTTTTCCATACATTTTCATATGGTAGTTGGTGTATCACCCAACCCTTCAATAAGTAGGCCTACACCAATCAGTTAGAATATAAAACCAATCCATGCCATGAGATCAAGATAGCAAAGATTTGCTATATCGAGGGTTCTGTGACACAAAGACGTAACTCCATATTTTGCCAAAATGAGTATTTGATATCAAAATATTCAGAAAAATGTGGGCTTTCCAGGAAACACAAAGACTTAACTCCAACCAACACCCCATTGAAGTCTATGGCTAGTGAAACATAGACTTAACTCCTTAAGGCCCAAGTGCTCAGTGTAACATAAACCACTTTTTCTCAAAATGGGCATCATGGAGTTACGTCTTTGTGTCACTGACCCCTCAATATGTGATTCCAATATGGCTCTTATAGAATTACCCGTCTCTGTCATTTTTTGTGTGTGAAAATGTCTCTCATTATAAAAAGGATGTTTCAGATATAGAGTCATCAGCAGGGACCTCTATCTTAGGCCTCAACCACTTTTTCTCAAAATGGGCATCATGGAGTTACGTCATTGTGTCACGATCCCTCGATATGTGATTCCAATACTGCTGTTATGGAATAACCTGTCTCTGTCATTTTTTTTTTTGGGGGGGGGGTGTGAAAATGTCTCTCATTATAAAAAAGATGTATCAGAGTCATCAGCAGGGACCTCTATCTTCAAATCACTTTTTCTCAAAATGGAGTTACGTCTTTGTGTCACTGACCCCTCATTATGTGATTCCAATGCGGCTGTTATGGAATTACCCGTCTCTGTCATTTTTTGTGTGTGAAAATCAAAATGTCTCTCATTATAAAAAGGATGTTCCCAAGTCATCAGCAGGGATTGGCTGAGCAGGCACGCATCTCCTTCAACGGATCACAGGGAGCGCCATCACCCCTCGCTCTCCTCGCGACGTCTCTCATCCTGAACTCAATCCCCATCTCACCGCCGCATGATACAGAGCAGTCGGACCACGGCCCCCATTCACTCATCCGACAGTCTCGATCTACCGATGCTGTAATAATAATAATAATAATAATAATGCACAACATTTATTATGGGCATAATACTGTTTTTTCTAAGCGCACCATTGTTTTTCTACAAATTACCAACCAAAACTTATAATAAACACACAAATTATAAAGAGAAAGATGATGGTTGTCAATCACTGGCTTAGAAAATCAATTGTTTACATCATTTATGTTCACAAATATAAAAACTTTAAAGCCTATAGCCAATCATCACAACTCTCCCCAAAGAAAAGAAATTACATTATACAGGGGGTCCTGTTTATTCTATGTTGTTGTACATATAAATACTTTTTTCCATGTTTCACAAAAATGTAGCTCAATAGTCAGCACTCAAAATTCAGGGTGGTGCCCCCCCCCCCATCGCCTCCTGAAAATATGACTGGCATATGCAGGAGAAATTTCACTGTTACCAGTAGATGGGGGAATCTTTTTAGAAAACAAAGATCTACCGTATACTTTTATTATTATTTCTTTACTGCATCCAAAACTTGGGGTTGGATTTCAAATACAAATAAAAATACAAACAGATAGATAATGAAGGTAAAAATAATGTACACAGAGTCAAATAAACTATTGGGTCTGGTACATAAATATATGAATATCAATATGCTACATTCAAATTATTACACATAAAATCAATTAAAAGCACTACTTATAGCTACTTGCTATTTTTCTATATAGAAAATATAAAAAACAATGCCTAATCGGTGCCTTTTGGTCCCCCATGATCCTCTTTTTTGTAGTTTAATTGAGAGCTGATTTCATGAGATAACCACTTGTCAGTGACCTTGCAGGGAGGTATAATCCCACCTGGCCAAACTAGTACAGACAGGCTTTAAAGTAAGCTCATGAGTACAATATTTCATAATGATTGAACATATAACATTATAATTAATTAGGGTATGCTTACTACATCTGGCCACGTTGCATGATTGTCTCTCCTTGGTTTGCCCGCATTCCTCTCCTCCGTTGCGAGGTCTCTGCTTGATCATCCTCTGCCGTAGCATCTTACCCTTCCCACAAGACTTAGAACACTCCGACCACTCACCCCAGGCCGTCATCATACAGTCTACTACTTTACCTAGAGAAAACAAGAATAAGGAAAGTCATAAAGAGACGGCTGAATGTCATGGACTAATAACAAGTTGATGAACATGTGCTACTATATTTATCATTATAATTTGTGTATTATCCTTAAAGTTATCTATTATTAAACATATATCAAGTATCAAAATATCTGTTGGTATTGTGCATTATTATCTATATAAGGCTTCCAAGCGGTACAATAAATCAGTGTATTCAAATCTTTAGCGCAGTACCCAGATGACTGACCAATATTGTTTTCGAATTGCTCGGTCACCGGGAACTTCAACTATCGATATCGATATCATGGTGATATCACACACAAAAAAAGCCATATTTACCAAGGTTAGTAACATTTTGTTATTTCGCTAGTCAGACTAACATAGATAATAATAATGATATTGTATGGCTATGTTTTCGTATGATACAAGAAGATATTGCTCTCGCTATTAAAAACAATATTAGACTCGTCTTTGACTCGTCCAATATTGTCATAGCTCGAGCAATATATTCTTGTATCACACTCAAAGCCATCCAATATTATATAAATATCCAAACTGCCTTTAATATAACAAGGAAAAGATTGTGTTACATGTAATAAATGCCTCAACAAATCCATTTAAAAAAGTAGTTTCATAATAATCTCTTTTATGTGAAAAAGTTGACAGCCATTTCGAAATTGATCGAGTATTTCTGGAAACTTGTGAAAACAAATTTATGCTTCTATCTACTTTGACTGATGCCCATAATTTTGGAATCAATAGCAAATACCCTATAGCATTGTATATGCATATTATCCCTCTACTCATTTTACCCTTATAACAAATTAATTTCTACTGCAGAAAATATGTTTTCAATCAAACCACAAGAAATTGCCTTGAGTTATCCACATGGGCTCTGATAATAAATTGAAATTGCATCTTAAACCTATTAATTCAGCTCGGATTTATCTGCCTACAGTAGTTGCCATGGAAACCAGTCATTTTTACATGGTAACCAAGAATCGGATTGAGCCTCCCGCTCGGCTTACTAATTGCATCCTGATTGAAAAAATGAAAATTGTGCATTTTCAACCTACTTTATACAGCTTACTTTCAAGGAGAAAGCTATTTGGATGGACTGGGGTAAAATACGGCTGATTATGCAGTAGCAATGCATAACATTTTCAAGATGATCATTCCACATTTTGTGTATGGATCAATGACTTTAACTTATGGCTCATGGGAAAGAGAGTGTTGTCAAAATGTTGAGAAAAATTTCATGTTTTTATTGACTGATAAAACAGGGATTTTTAATCTCAAAACATGTTGCGTATTTTAAAACTTATTATTCTCTTTAAAGTCTCCTGCATCCAATGCAATATAGTCCTTGAACAAATATGGATGCAGTGTGTGCAGAATCTTTCGCCCTTTCTACTTGTGCATCTTGCATATTTTTTAGGGCTCTAAACAGGAGGAAGGAATTTGGAACTGAATATAGAGGCCATCTTTTCAACTTTTCGACAGCACTCTTCCATGTAGTACTTTTTGAGACATTAAATGCCTTTTTAATAATGTAGTAATAAAAGACAAATATTATTGTTGCCAATTTGAAAAATAAAATGTGATCAATCAAGCTTTACAAATAAATCCTGTCCTGATAGTGGGAAATGCACAATTGTCAATATTTATTTCATATTTTTTTGGTAAACAATGGATCTCACTGTAATTAATGTTTCAGAGATGCAAAACTAAATTTAATTCTGACTATTGAAATACATTTATTCACAAGAAGTGAATGGTACATATTTCTCAATGAGGCACAGCACACAAAGATATAAAGAGAGAGAAAGATACAAATTAAAATATTAAATATCCCTAAAAGATAAAACTAAAATACCATGGGTTAATATACTATTCCTAGCCTACGGAGTAACATGCACACAGAAAACCAAATCAATAATTCTAGACTCACCTCTCCTTTTAGGAGGCATGGTTTGAATATCACCTGAGGAAAATAAAAAAAGATAAATCATTAGACATTTAATCACTTTACACTGTTTCGTGCATTCAATGATTTAAAGTTATAAAACTTAACTTATGCCACAACATCATTGAATACTTGGAGACATAAATGTAATTAACCTTATAGATGTACTGTTAATATTTCTTCATTTTTCTAAAGCATCATGTTATTGATCATATTTGCATAACAAAGGAGATATGTACATAATTCAGGACAAAACAAAACTAATAGCAAATACAGGGCATTAAAGTATACAAAAAATGAACATACAGTAAATACAGGAAAAAGTAAACACTACTGGTACCATCTAGGTATTCCAAACCAAAACTAAGTTTGATACTGCAGCAACCATTTTAGGACAAAGGTAATGTAAGTCTGTCTTTGCATCTAAAATAGGGTTTAGAAACTATTTATAATAGAACATAAATCAATGGAAACAAAGTGATGATTGAAAATGTGTTTCATAACATTTAATTTGTAGAACATATTTGTAACCCTCATATCATGGCATCATTAATAATACACATTTTCTTTTAAAGCCCCACTGCACTACTTATAGCTACTTGCGCCCTCTATATAACAAACAATGCCTGAGCGGTGAACATTGGTCTCCCATGATTCTCCTTTTCTTTCTTTTTCCATGCATGGAGGTCTAATCCCTCCTGGCCAAACTAGTGCAGTGGGGCTTTAAAACTAGTCTTACCTTCTGGTATAATCTCAATGGTCTTTGGTGGCATGGTAATTACTCCCATCTGTTTTGGGGGCATTGTAGGTTCTTGAACCATGACCTTTGAGGGCATTGTGGGGTCACGACCTCCCATGACCTTTGGAGGCATGGTGAGGTCAGGTCGTCCCATGACCTTCGGAGGCATTGTGAGGTCATGACCTCCCATGACCTTTGGTGGCATTGTGGGGTCATGACCTCCCATGACCTTTGGTGGCATTGTGGGGTCAGGTTGTCCCATGACCTTTGGTGGCATTGTGGGGTTGCCACCCATCATAGGTTTCTTGGGTGGCATGCCTCCGTGGACTCCACCTGAAACGGAATTGAACAAGATGTGCATACATGGGCTTACTTAGATATAAAGATACATCTACAATGTATACTTCCAGCCTTATTTTAGTCGTAATATATGTGAAATATTTCCTTTTGAACTCTTACAGTGACACAAGGATTGGCTCCAATTTCGAGTATGTTACAAAATACAAGAAGGATCTTTATATTTGCACCTCTTGAATCATGCATTGTGTAACAAAATCTTATACCTACAAGAAGTCGATAATATACAATAATTTCATTTCTAATTAAACCAAGCATTCAAATAAAATGTTACTTTATGGGTATTGACTATTAGAAAATGAAAATGACTTTACTTTTCATTTCCTTTTCATTCATTTACTATCATGTGAAGTCAAACCAACATCTGCAGAGGATGTTCAACATTCTTTCAAAAATTGTTTTTGATAGTACAGGTATATAGTTTCTGAAATACTTTGAATGCATGAATAATTCTCTAAGACATTGATATACATGTTAATGAACTTCAAATAGATATTCCCGGGTGGACAAATTGTGATAAACACATGTCCTAATCTGTGAGCCACATGTGAAGAGCTTAATTCCTAAAGGAGCTAAGTCCTCTTATCGTCCCTATTTTCATGAAGTGACGGTTGTGAGAAAAAAATCATCACGCAAATTGTATGCAAATTTTCTCATTACCGTCACTTCATGAAAATAGGGACATTATGATGAAAATTGAGTTATTGATATCAGAACATTGTTCACTTAAGATATCTTTCAACAAAATTATTTACATAAATTTTGGGAGCAATTACGAAAAAATTAAATTTTCTAATATCACTTTTCCATAGACGCCTGTACAAAATCTGGTAAACAGTTTCTTTTTTCTCTGAAGTTACAAAAATGGATTTAGCTCCTTTTGGAATTAAACTCTTCAAATGAGGACTTACCTTGAGATCCTGTACCATGCTCTGTCTCTGTGTTACTACGGTTACGGATTGATACTCTCTCAATGACGACTGTTGCTAAGGACCCGATGGGACCTCCGTTGGGGTTATAGAAGGACGCCCTTGGGTTGTCTGGATCGGAGCTTGTGATTGGACGGATTGGATCGGGTGGATCCAAGGGAGAATTGCTGGACTGTGATATGAAATAGACATAGACACTTTGTTTGCTTTCATTCCTTTTCTGCACAGTTGCTTTTTGCACTGATTTATATTTATTGAGAAGGTGACATATTAAAGCTTTTATCTTACTATATTCAACAAAGGCCATATTTCAACCGGTCAACCTTTCATTCTTGACTTACAGAAAACACAAAAGACATCAAATTTACAAGGGTCAGAATATTTTAGTTGTTAACAATATGTTTTGTCGATGAAGGGCATACAAACTTTTGATAAAAGAACCACTTACATTGTACATGATTCCACTGTCCGTGCCTGCGTCCCATGGCTGAAGATAGAAAACCTTTCTCTCGACCCAGCCGCAGTCTGCCGTACACAAGTTTTCCTTTGAGATACCGACACACCAGTCTGGGCTAGGACCCATCATAGAGACCGCTGATACAAGGTTGCGTTGGGAATCGGTCTTGAAGTAGGACGTCATGTTACGTAGTCTAGGACCGTACGCAGGGAACAGACCTCGACTGAAGATCACCGTCTTGACATTGTCTCCCTGTTTCAAAAAGTTATAGAGGGAGTGAGAGATAGAAGAGAAAGATGACCAGAAAAAGAGGGGGATATAGTGAGAAAGGAAGAGAGAGAGAGAGAGAGAGAGGGGTGGGAGGGAGACAGGGGAGGAAGGGAGGGAGAGAGAGAGAGAGAGAGAGAGAGAGGAGAAAGAGGAGAGACATTAAACAGAGATAGAAAAAGAGAGATGAATGGAGAAAGGGAAAAGGGGAAGGCAGAGTGAGAGGGAGAGAGAGATAGTGACAAAGTAAAGAGAGAATGAGAGATGAACAAAGGGAAAGGGCAAGAGAAGGAGAGATATTGATCCGGACAGTGAGAAGAGAAAGAGAGTGAGAGAGAGAGGAAGAGGGGGGGGGGGGGGGCAGAGAGAGAAAGAAAAATGTAGTGCAATGGGAAACAGACAGAAAGGGAGTAAAAGGATAAACAGTTGTATAGAAAGGGAGAGAATTCAAGATAATAAAATGAGATGCATACACAAAGAAAAATGATTACCGGTAGCTGACAATACTTTTTCAAAAATGTTCTTATCATATCTATTGTAACCAATAACATCATAGCATTACTTCTCTTTAACAACATATTTGTAGCTACTGTGCGCAAACTCAAAAGGCACTCAAATGTTTCTGTGAAATACATGTGAACATCATAGCAGATTTGAAACAAAATCTGTGTTTAACAAATTTAATACATTTCCAAAGCCTTTTCCATCAATCTTAAAATCAATATAAAGAACCAAGCAGCCAACTCAAAATCTTTATCCATATTCATGTCACATTTCTCAGTACGAATCTTATTCTCTATCTTGGTAATTGATCCCCCCAAAGCAGTGAGCTTGAATCTATAATAGTTCTTATAATATATTTTTATTTGTGTTAAGGGAATAGCATTGAAAACTTAATCTGCCAAATATCCTACACTCACAATCGACTTTTATGTAACAAATTTCTGTCCAATGCTACAAATGTCTCATCCATAATGCAGGTTATTCATCCCCATGTTCACATTAATCATAACACATACAAAGATTGCATGACAGGATACAACCATTACACTGCTGAATAAAACATATATTCTCAACTCTATTTTCTTTCAGCATAATCGCTGTAACATACAGATACTTAAACTGCTGGGTCCAGGAAGAAGAAGGGGGACAGGAGGTGAAAAAAGGGGATGACGGCGAGAAACCGGTGTCTCTATCTTATCAGGGAAGGGTTGGGGGGGGGGGGGGGGGGGGGGGGGGGGGTGGGGGGAACTTCCATCATGCAGATAGAAAAATCTCTTGCCACTTCTAAGATCATACCTAAGGTCTGTATTTCAGTGTTTGCAGTATTTGAATACCTTGAATATCATAGAGCAAATAATGTTTCAAATAATAATAGAAACCGGTGTCTCTATCTTATCATGGAAGGGTCGGGGTCGGGGGAGGGGGGGGGGGGGGGGGAACTTCCATCATGCAGATGAAAAAAATCTCTTGCCACTTCTAAGATCATACCTAAGGTCTGTATTTCAGTGTTTGCAGTATTTGAATACCTTGAATATCATAGAGCAAATAATGTTTCAAGTAATAATATTTTATGCCAGTAACATAAAAGAATTCATGCTCTAATAATTCCTCTCCATGTGATACAATGAATCATTATAATTAAACTAATAGCAATAGTAATAATAATAATAAACCATTAAAAAAACAAGATTGAGGATCTCTTGTTGGTCTTTATGCAGTGAGTAGTTCATTTAAATAAGAGGGAGCTAGATCATTTAAGTATTTCCAAGCTGATAACGGTATCTTGAACTGGATGCGAGATTGGCGTTATAACCAATTTACTTTCACAGCACAGTTCTACATTGATGCGGATTATAAACATAGACCAACTAGACTTAACATAACCCTGCCATACAAGTAGCAGCTATGATAAAGGGATACATGCGTCTGTGATTTATAACTATAAATTGTTATGATCTTTTCAGGGCCATCTATGATCTATCAATTCTGACTGTCTTAAAAGAGTAACACTTTGTTTGCTTTCTTCCCCTCTCTGCATGGGCTCTCATTTGCACACACATACAATTTAGCACACAACTATAGTCACCAACTAAGGAAAGGATTGCTTTGAGTAACACAATGGTTTCACAATTTTACCCACTTCTGATCGTGATTAGCTCCATGACAACCTTTTTAACAATTGTGTAAAGTCAAGTTTGAAGTTCAAGTTAATTTGTCTCTCTTCCAACATGAATGCAATACAATTTAACAAATTTATGACATGTAGAGTATATAAAAGGAACACTTATAAGAATCAAGTTCACAAAGAAGATTTAAGGGAGAAAAAAGAAGAAAAGACAAGGAGACCTAATTAAAGCTTAGCTTGTAGAAGTCAGGTACCTCAAATTAATCTTGGATTGGCAAAAGCTAAATAATCTTGAAGTTGAATCCTTTGCTATATCTATCCCATGATATTACTAGAATGTGGTACATGCAGAGTATCTGTGTGAAATATACGGAGCTAATAGAATATTCAGAAAATATACACTATTACTTGTATCTCTTACACTGTATGTTTATTAGTTACGCTGTGGAATAGTCTTGAATTATTCATTATATAGAGGAAATCATGTCACTTCAGATTATTTCTGCCCTGACAACTTTTCCCTCGGTGGTTGATAAATGGTTTCCTTTGTCAAATGTGAAGGCAAAGAGCACGTAATCGCTTGTGATAACCCTTTTTCAGGATAATTATACATATTACATGTTATTTTTTCAGATACTACTACAACTAAAGTATATAACTACTACTACTACTACTGAAACTATTAATACTACCTCCACTACCACTTCTATTTCAACTATACTTCTATTTCAACTCTACTATTACTCCTCCTCCTCCTCCTTCTCCTTCTCCTCCTCCTCCTCCTCCTCCTTCTTCTTCTTCTTCTTCTTCTTCTTCCTCTTCCTCTTCCTCTTCCTCTTCCTCTTCCTCTTCCTCTTCCTCTTCCTCTTCCTCTTCCTCTTCCTCTTCCTCTTCTTCTTCTTCTTCTTCTTCTTCTTCTTCTAAATCCTCACTATGATTCCCATACCAGAGCTCAAGATTAGCATTTTAAGAATGGTTGATCATACTGCATGATTAACCTAACTTTCCACTTGAGTTTAATAAAAAGGGACTGTACCTCAATGAATGCCTCAGACAGCATCAATGAAAATAATGGATGCCATGTCAAATTAATTGCTTTCTACTCCATGACTAGAAATTAGCATTTTTTTCAAGAGCATATAACCACAAACATCTTTACAACCTGGCAATACTGTCCTCTGCAAAAAATGGAGTTGCCTTTTTGAGAGAACTTTGAATTAGCCTCCATTAACCTCCTATTTAATTAGGACAATTATAATTTGGCGTACCGTAATTAACAGTGTATAAACCACACCTTTTTGCTGCCGAAAAAAATTCAAAGTCGGGGGTGCGGTTTATACACGGTACACCAAATTTTTTTTTTTTTTTTTTTAAAGTTTCGATTTATGCCCCTCTACCTGGCGCTATGCCTGGCAATGTCTCCCAGCTCAGTAATTGGTGTGTTGACTCACCACTCGGAAACTAGAACAACACTCAAATTTGTCTGTCAAATTTGTCTGTGATCTCAATATGTAGTTTATAATAATAATTCCTCCCAATTTTTCTTCTATTACATGGTGTACCACAAGGTTCTACCCTAGGTCCTCTACTGTTTTTTAATTTACATTAATGATCTTACACATTCAGCTGCACCTCACAGTTAAATGTAAGGCCTTCCCGCATGGGTTTTTTAACACGGACCAGGCTTGCTGCCGACAAAGTCGGCAAAAAAAAGTCGACCAAAAAAAAAATTAAAAAAAATGTTTATACAACGTTTATTACGGTACCGTAATACTATGTGTTGTTTTAGTTTACCTGTATTTTAGTTAAAAAAGTGATATGTTCGAGATTGTAATAATTATGTACAGCGCCATGAGTGTCAGAGCCTGGCAGATACCGGCGCTATATAAATATCCATATTATTATTATTATTTTGAGTTTCATGATTATTTTTGTTACAACTTTGAAATTATATCAACGCTACTCTCAATATCATGGTTACCTAGGTATGCTGATCGATCGTAACTCACTGCTTTCAAAACAGGATATTTTTTAAAGGGCTAAATTGATCACATATTGTTCTTCAAATTAGCAACACAACTACTAATATGAACAGTATAATACGAGATACCAGCAATACATGATCAAAAATACAACTAGTCGCAAACAAATGAATGTGCATGACTAAGAGAGTATATAATTATGAAGACTTTATCATATAGTCAGCGTTTTTATGAACCGACGAATCCGTCACATAAATTACTGTACGGATTTGTTGATTCATAAAAACGTCAGCGATATGTTTACAAGTTTGAGATGGTGATGTAAATGGGTACCTGGCAGGAATTAATTCTTTGAAATGCTAGAGCGCCGTAATAGCAGCACAGCTAAAGCCGGGTTATAATCTCCACCTTTGGAAGCGCTTTATAAAACTGAGTATTATTATTATTATTATTATTCTTAATATTATTACCTCTTCTTTGATTTCTCTCTCCAGTCTATACGGACTGCCCCACTCAGCGACCATCTTGATGCCATATGATGCATACTGACCGTACTCCCAGATAGTATAGTCTGAACCGTGAGAAGCTCCGATCAAATCAGACCAATGATTACCGTTTCCTGAAAAGATCAGAAAAAGAAACAAGGTTGTACATGATGCTGGTCAGTATAGACTGGTCTTTGGTCAGTCAATCATTCAGCTATTTGGTGTGCACCTGAACTGGTTAAACCACTGAAATCAGTCAAAATAGACCTACCAGTGTAACGTTGGCAATTTAACTGATAAGTCATTATGGTTGAAACTTATTAACCCCTAAGCTGCCATCCATACAATGCACCCAGTGCCACAGTGCTAATCCCTATTGTGCCAGCCACAAATCTCCTGTGTGCCAAGTTAATTTTAGGGTTGGTTCAAGTGCGTGTTATTTAAATCTTTACAAAAAACAAAATCGCTAAATTACTCAAGAAAATCCAAGCTGACTGTTGTATACAAAGACGCGTAATCCAAAGCCGATAATCTGATGCACGCGATGGTACTTTCAATAGCGCTGCAAAAGCACTTAGCACGGTGCAATGGGCATGAACAATGACTGTTATTACATATGCTTGCTAGCGTGCACAAAGCAGACGAGCGGTGGCTCGCTAGCATGAACGTAGCAATCAATCGATAGCGCGCTCGCGTGCACAGAGCACTATAACAATAGCGTGCTAGCAGTCTCATGGCAGGATATGAGTTAATTAGTTAAGTTATGCAACAGCGTCAGTAGAAACTTTGATTGCTGGATTATGGTCATTAATTCTTTTAATTTTTCTTTGATCCAGTTTTCCTTGATCAAAATCAAAGAATAATAACAATAATTTTACTTTTGTTCAGTGAATTATTGTATTTAAAAGGTTTTGTATCAGTAGAGTACTTGTTTAGTCAGTCATATTTAAAGGTTATTCAGTTATCTATAAGGAGCAGCGTCATTATTATCATTATTATTATTTATTTGACCAATAAAAAATCATACAATGAGTATCACAATCAGAAAATAAATAGAAATTTCATAACACAGTGTACATGCAAACAGTTTTATGAAAGTGGAGAGTGGTCAGGGGTGACAAAAGCAATATAATTGCTATTAGTCGAAAGCACGTCACTACCCATTCATTGGTTAGGTCACAAAATAGTAGGAAAAAAAATCCATATCTTGATCCCTGATAATATTACCAGTGGGATACTGTCTTGGATGGGTCTGTGGAGTCCATGTACTAACGAAGGTGAATCTGTACTTGGCTTCTTCGTGGGGCGGGGCGCAGCAGGCATGGGGGTCAAGGGTCGGAGGCGGGGCTGGACCACTTCCTGTACTCTCTGTAAAAAGAAAAAGGAATAGATGGTATAAATCATGAGTGTAAGTAAAGTAATATCATGGATGTACACATAGAGCAGTCGGAAATTGGTTGATTCATTAAATGCATTGTTTCAAAGACATTCGACAAAGAGAACAAAATGAATCCTGCTGTGTTCTATATACCGAGTTTACCTCCCCCCCTCAAAAACGAAGAAAAAGAAGACAAAAGGAAAGAAGGGAAGAAAGGAGAAGGAAAGAAAAGAATCAGTAATAAATATCTGAATGAATACACATACATAAGTTCAACCTCATAAAGATAATGATTACTACAGTGCATAGATTCTTGATACTTAGATGATTTGGATTGAAGTCAAACATAATGCAATTTAACACAGGGAAGACTTAATTACAAAGAGAAATCATATCATGTTATACATTTAAATTTACATCATAATAATATTTTGTTGGAGAAGATGCCCTCCTTTTTCCCTCTTACATCGGTGACCAACTTTATTTCCTGTCTTTTTCTCATTTTGAGTTTCCCCTCAGTTATTAATATTACTTCAAGTTTTTCAAACCTGAATAAATTAAAGATCACATTCGGCCACTGGCAACAAGCTGTAATCAAATCCGAGCATCTAAGTTTCTCAAACCCTCTCTATACCAAGAGGAACCTTCTTATAATATTTTCTAAAATTATATATGTGAATAGTTACATCCGAGCAGTATTTTTTAAAGAGCTGCCATTAATTTCGGACTGATTGCAAGTCCTCCAGTCAATTCCAAACTCTATCTTTTCAGTACAGACTTGTGATTCACAACATTTTGTGATTGATTTCAATTGATTGTAATTGTTTAAACGATAGGACAATGATACCCAGTTTCCTAATAATAATAATAATGATAGGCATTTCTATATCGCTGTCTATCTAGAAATTCTATTCCGAGGCGCATTTATTATTACCCCGGCTTTAGCCTAGCTGCCATTACACAGCGCTCCAGCATTTCAAGGAACTAATAACCCATTTACATCACCTGGGTTGAGTGCGGCAAATGTAGATCAATGTCTAATATCTAGGTATAGATTCTACTAATACCATACCTCTCTCACACAGTTGAAGAGTGAGATCTCCATCTTCAGCAAACCAAACAGTCTTCTTCTGTATTACACCAGCTCTGCATGAGAAAGATGGAAGACAAAGATGACGTTAGAGAAGATGAAAAAGACAATGAATGAGCTGCAAAGGTATGGCCAAAAAGAAAAGAAAAAAAAGTTGTATAGGAGTAACAGGCCACCCCAAAAAGAGTACCGTAAGTAGGCCATTTTTTAACCACCTGGAAAACGGGAAAACGAGTTTCCACATACATACACGAAACAGAGTATCCTTGGCTAGAGTACAAACAGGCCTTAATCAGCAGAAAAGAAGCAAAAGTAGCAAAACTGGTGTAAAACGAAAGAGATTATGAAAAATGATATCAAAATATTGGGATTTTGTGATTGCAATAGTGATTCTATTTTATTGAACTGCTTAGGGTAGGAGAAATTTCTAGGGTAGGTCAGGTTACGCCTATACAACATTTTGGGGGTCTAAGTAAATAAAGACCTTGGTGAAATGTAAATGTTTACTACTAATTTATCAGCAAGACAGACAATTAGCACAAACTTTATTTTCTTTCTACTTTTGTATTTCAAAAAGTAACATCCACAATTAATTTTGCCTTTTTTAAAAACATAGATATTTATACCTGTTGTTAAAATATAAAAATTATTATTACAACTGTATTTCTTGACATTATTGTACTAAAGTGGTCCCTTCTGAGTTTGAGCAAATTTTAAAGAATCTCTTTCTCTGGTGTATTCCCCAATGACTGACACCATCTTGAAAATGATCATTTAACTTAACATTAGCGAAACACTATACAGAGAGGAATCCTCATAGGGTTCTCATCAGGAATGGAAATTGATTCCACCTTTCCTTTTTTAATAATAAATGTATAATTATATTTAACCTTTCAGAGACATTCATTTAAAGTCTGTCTGCACTAGTTAAGCCAGGAGGGATTAGACCTCCCTGCATGGTCACCGACAGGTGGTTATCTCATCATATCAGCTCTCAATGAACATAAGAAAAAGGGGACCACGGGGGACCAATGATCACCGATTAGGCATTGTTTGCTATATAGAGGGCGCAAGTAGCTATAAGTAGTGCAGTGGGGCTTTAAACTTCTCAGACAAGATCCAACATAGTCCCTTTCAGATCACACACCCACACACCACAATAAACCCTGCACTTTTAGACGAATGCTGAGTCACGGCCCAGTAAGAAATTGAGATGGCATGTTCTAATTCTCACAGCTTGTTTGTGTAGGCATGTATTGAAAATACATCCATTGGGACCCCTGTTATTACAAACACTCGGAAATATCCATATCGTTAACAATGTAGTGCACATGGCTTGACCTTTGTCTGTTATAATGATTAGGACACATCATCCCCACAATGTTACATTTTACAAATCAACATGGACTGATAGACTCTTTGCAGTAACTACAAATTTTGAACTGTAACATTAATTTCTTGTCATCAACATGCTTTATTGGTTTTCTTCTTATTTTCCATGAAATGAAATGAAATAAAATGGGCCTTGTGAACTTTCTGTCAAGGGCAATAGCTAAAAGAAGATACTTCAGAAAGCATAGAGAGGTAATCTTCAAACACAGATAGCAACATGAAGCAGCAAATGAAGTGATCTTAGACCAAAACTACATGACAAGAGGTGCGTCAAGTGGCCATGTAATCCAGAGTATATATGCTCAACCTAAATAGAACTAGATGGAACTTCGACTGCGCGCAGTCGAAATGATGCCTCCGTCATAGAGCAATTTACAAACCAAAACAGAAGAAATTTTTCAAATTCAAGTTCAATTGTAATCCATTAACAGGTTCTCAGAATATCGTGATTACAAGCAATTTCTCATATACATATATGACCCTTTGATCTTTGACCTCATGACCCTAACATCTACTCAGTTCATTGGCTCCGCAAGATGTCCCGAGTTAAATAGTAATCCATCTGTCAGTTCTAATGAGAATGCGTTCACAAGCTATTTTTGCATACATAATGAGCCCATGACCTTTGACCTTTGACCTCATGACCCAAGAATCTACTCAGTTCATTGGCTCTGCAAGATACATACATGATCTAAGTTTGGCAGGAATCCATCAATCTGTTCTAATGATAATGCGATCACAAGCTATTTTTGCATACATAATGAGCCGCATGACCTTTGACCTTGACCTCATGACCCCAAAATCTAATCAGTTCATCAGCTCTGCAAGTAACATACATGACCTAAGTTTGGCAGGAATCCATCAATCGGTTCTTGAGATAACGCGATCACAAGCTGTTTTTGCATACATAATGAGCCCTGTGACCTTTGACCTTTCACCTCGTGACCCCAAAATCTAATCAGTTCATCGGCTCTGCAAGATACATACATGACCAAAGTTTGGCAGGAATCCATCAATCGGTTCTTCAGATAACGCGATCACGAGCTGTTTTTGCATACATAATGAGCCCTGTGACCTTTGACCTTTGACCTCGTGACCCCCAAATCTAAACAGTTCATCGGCTCTGCAAGATACATACATGACCAAAGTTTGGCAGGAATCCATCAATCGGTTCTTCAGATAACGCGATCACGAGAACGGGACGTACGGACGTACGGACGGACGTACGGACGTACGGACGTACGGACGGACGGACGGACGGACGGACAACCCGAAAACATAATGCCTCCGGCTACTTCGTAACGGAGGCATAAAAACAGCATAGATTACAACCTCAACTCATATTCTATAAACTTTCAAATTATGGACTCACGACAGTATGCTTGTGTGATTTTTGTCTTGTGTGTCTGAAAAAAGGGGGTATCTTGTGTGTCTTTTCATTTTTTCCTTCTAAAGACTACTTGTGTGTCTTAATTCCCAACTTCTTGTGTGTTTGTCTAAAATTAAATGAAAATGCATCTTGTGTGTTTTTTAATACAATATGTGTTGAGACTAGTTTTTAAAATTAAAATTAAGGCTTGTATGCCCAAAAGACATTATTGTCTACCTCTATCCAAGTCAGGAAAATTAAGGCTTGTGTCCCGCAAAAACACATCATTTACCTGCCTAAGTCGTGAAAATTGAGGCTTGTGTGGCAGAAAAGACGATCAGCTACCCTGTCCAAGACAAGAAAATTAAGGCTTGTGTGCCTAAAAAACTTGATGTCCAAAAAGTATACAACTATTTATTTGTGACTTTTGAATGACCAAAAAATTGATTTATCTTTTTTCCTCATTGAATAGAAACATCACACACAATTAATACAGGTAATGCAATAATATTCCAATGCTGAGGAGGAACCAATGAAAAGCCAAGGAGCTTGTCATAATGTATTGCATACAATGCTATATATCATTTTTTTAAAGTCAAGATAAAATTACTTCCATCTAAAAAGAATTAAAACTATTTATGCGACCATTGATCTCACTACAAACTGCGTGTGATAATTTAATCCTAAAAAGACTTGTTCCATGTGTCTTTAGAATTCACTACATGTCACCAAGTATTAAATGTATAAAAAAACACCATATCACCATAAACCGCACACAACAACAGAAATGCAATTTAATAACACTTGAAGTAACAATTAAAAGTAACACTTTTATTAACATTTTCCTTGTCTAATTCAAACATTACAAAATATTGATAACATGAGCAGCTGAAGTGAGCATGGGCTAAAGTAAAGAGATGAGAGGAAAGATACAACAAAATTTACAAAAAACTATTACGGTATAACAATTTTCGAAATACTGCTCCAGATGCCTATAAATAACTGGTTGTCACTTAAACACTGTAAGTATATACACATTAACAAGTCACTTTTTATATTTGGTTGGAAGATACAGTCTGTTGAGGATTTTTGATAACATGTTATATTTCTGTTGCCATAGTAACTACTACATCTATTCAAAATTGTTGCAGAAAGTAACTAAAAAACAAATCAAACATGTAATAAACAGTTCAGGAGTGTTTTGGATTTGTGGAACAGTATTCCTAAATGTTGTCTCAGCAACTTCTGTAAACTGTTTTTTAAAAGAATAGACTAGACAAACACATATACTGGAAAAAAAAACTATGATCTTGTCTATGAGCTTGTATAACCTGGTATTGCAAGTTTGCACACATTTTTGTCTTATCCCCAAGTATTTAATTAAACAAGACAAGGATAATGTATAATCACTGAAGAAGACATCTACGATCTATGAACACTCAACAGGCATAGTCCTATAGTCCATTAAATTAGATTAAAGTAAGTGCTTTCAAGTCCTTTCTTAAGCCTAAAACCATTGGGAGGAGAGCATTTCCCCTCTGTTTTCAATAATTACACAATGTGCATAGCTTTTACCAGGAGTTTAGTTTTTTTTTCTGTTGAAATCTCCCATACATGTACATTTAGAGACCTAATTGGCGATGACCTGATGCACGATATGATGTTACATAACATTTTGTACATGCACGTCAGTCCAAAAATTACTTAAAAACATTAATTTGTGTATAATTTAAAAAAAAAGTTGTTTCTACAAAATTCACAAAATAATAAAATACATAAGAAATAAAATTCCATACCTATTTTCTCAAATACTATTGCAGTAGATGTAATGAAAAATTATCTGAACCAAAAATTAACCATCTTTGAGCTTCAGAATAATGAAAATATGATTCCAGACATTAAATTATCATATTCAGTGTTTTAATTCAAATAGAATTTTGAAGAATATAACTATAAAGTCTGAGTTTACATTGCTCTCTACCAGGAAGCAAATTTTTGCTACTAGATCTAAGGGACCAGGGGGCAACCCCCCCCCCCATAAATGGTTTAAAACACCAAAAAGCCAAATGATTTAAGGGTTAATGGTGGGGATGTTGGGCAGAGAGACAATTTATTAACTGGCAAATAAAAAAAAAGGTTTAAAAACAATAAAGGGTAAAAATGAGAACCATCATTTCCAAAATTGACGACTGCTAATATCTATTGGGTTGCAAAGTTGCGAGTATATTCATTGACAATAAGCACTGGCTTTCTGTACATTGGATGAATTTAAACTTTGAAATTCATCAACTATGAGGAGATTCCAAATATCAATATTCATTAAGATTTCGCAATTCAACATCTAAATTCACTTTAAATGCAGATATCAATTAAAATTCTCAAAATCACTTTGCCAATGGATTTTCAAAGAGGAGAATTGACAAAACAAAATTGTATCACCTAAACTTGATGACTGCCAATAACTATTGGCTGGCAAAGTTGCGAGTATATTCATCGACAATAAGCACCGGCTTTCTGTACATTGGATGAATTTAAACTTTGAAATTCATCAACTACGAGATTCCAAATATCAAAATTCATTAAGATTTCCAAATTCCACATCAAAATTCACTAGAAATGCAGATATCCATTAAAATTATCAAAATCACTTTGCCAATGGATTTTCAAAGAGGAGTATTGACAAAACAAAATTGTATCACCTAAACTTGATGACTGCCAATAACTATTGGCTGGCAAAGTTGCGAGTATATTCATCGACAATAAGCACTGGCTTTCTGTACATTGGATATATTTAAACTTTGAAATTCATAAACTATAAGTAGATTCCAAATATCAAAATTCAATAAGATTTTGCAATTCAACATCAAATTCACTTTAAATGCAGATATCCATTAAAATTCTCAAAATCACTTTGCCAATGGATTTTCAAAGAGGAGTATTGACAAAACAAAATTGTATCACCTAAACTTGATGACTGCCAATAACTATTGGCTGGCAAAGTTGCGAGTATATTCATTGACAATAAGCACTGGCTTTCTGTACATTGGATGAATTTAAACTTTGAAATTCATCAACTACGAGATTCCAAATATCAAAATTCATTAAGATTTCCAAATTCCACATCAAAATTGACTTTAAATGCAGGTATCCATTAAAATTCTCAAAATCACTTTGCCAATGGATTTTCAAAGAGGAGTACTGACAAAACAAAATTGTATCACCTAAACTTGATGACTGCCAATAACTATTGGCTGGCAAAGTTGCGAGTATATTCGTCGACAATAAGCACTGGCTTTCTGTACATTGGATATATTTAAACTTTGAAATTCATAAACTATAAGTAGATTCCAAATATCAAAATTCAATAAGATTTTGCAATTCAACATCAAATTCACTTTAAATGCAGATATCCATTAAAATTCTCAAAATCACTTTGCCAATGGATTTTCAAAGAGGAGTATTGACAAAACAAAATTGTATCACTTAAACTTGATGACTGCCAATAACTATTGGCTGGCAAAGTTGCGAGTATATTCATCGACAATAAGCACCGGCTTTCTGTACAATGGATGAATTTAAACTTTGAAATTCATCAACTACGAGATTCCAAATATCAAAATTCATTAAGATTTCCAGATTCCACATCAAAATTGACTTTAAATGCAGGTATCCATTAAAATTCTCAAAATCACTTTGCCAACGGATTTTCAAAGAGGAGTATTGACAAAACAAAATTGTATCACCTAAACTTGATGACTGCCAATAACCTTTGGCTGGCAAAGTTGCGAGTATATTCATCAACAATAAGCACTGGCTTTCTGTACATTGGATGAATTTAAACTTCGAAATTCATCAACTACGAGATTCCAAATATCAAAATTCATTAAGATTTCCAAATTCCACATCAAAATTGACTTTAAATGCAGGTATCCATTAAAATTCTCAAAATCACTTTGCCAATGGATTTTCAAAGAGGAGTATTGACAAAACAAAATTGTATCACCTAAACTTGATGACTGCCAATAACTATTGGCTGGCAAAGTTGCGAGTATATTCATCGACAATAAGCACTGGCTTTCTGTACAATGGATGAATTTAAACTTTGAAATTCATCAACTACGAGATTCCAAATATCAAAATTCATTAAGATTTCCAAATTCCACATCAAAATTCACTTTAAATGCAGGTATCCATTAAAATTCTCAAAATCACTTTGCCAACGGATTTTCAAAGAGGAGTATTGACAAAACAAAATTGTATCACCTAAACTTGATGACTGCCAATAACCTTTGGCTGGCAAAGTTGCGAGTATATTCATCAACAATAAGCACTGGCTTTCTGTACATTGGATGAATTTAAACTTCGAAATTCATCAACTACGAGATTCCAAATATCAAAATTCATTTAGATTTCCAAATTCCACATCAAAATTGACTTTAAATGCAGGTATCCATTAAAATTCTCAAAATCACTTTGCCAATGGATTTTCAAAGAGGAGTATTGACAAAACAAAATTGTATCACCTAAACTTGATGACTACCAATAACCTTTGGCTGGCAAAGTTGTGAGTATATTCATCGACAATAAGCACTGGCTTTCTGTACAATGGATGAATTTAAACTTTGAAATTCATCAACTACGAGATTCCAAATATCAAAATTCATTAAGATTTCCAAATTCCACATCAAAATTCACTATAAATGCAGGTATCCATTAAAATTCTCAAAATCACTTTGCCAATGGCTTTTCAAAAAGGAGTATTGACAAAAAGAATATGTCACGTAACTATGAAGAATTTTTATTTCCTAAGAGGCAAAGTTGAGTATTTTATTGTTTGCTAGGAATACGTTTTACACATATCTGGAACTGGTACTATGTCCCATTTGCAGGCCCAAAAAATGAAAAGGTTAAATTCCAACAGCATTTTGATTTAGAACTTTCCGAAGAAAAGGGGGGCTTCAGTTGAAAATGTCTTTAAGTGGGAAAATAACGCCTATTAGTTGTTGAATCGACTTAAAGATGAAGTTGAGTTCTGGTTTTGCGATTGCATTGTGAAAGAAACGGTGTGGAATCGACCAGAAAAGGTTGATCATCTAGCATATAACAATTTGTGTGTATTGCAAGGTTCTGGAATCATCAAAATGATAAGAAATTTGGCCAAGTCTTGGTAAAGTTACAAACACTGTACACAGAAAGATGTATATGGGACTACACAACCACGTGGCGTAAAAAGGCTACCCCCCCAAGTTTTACGATATTACATGACATATTTAGAATATGAAGGCATTTGAAGAGCCATGCTTTTTAAGGGAACATGTCTTATCTGATGTTCTTCCACACTTGCATAATATAGGAATGATAACGCTCACAAATTATTTTTCACCTCTTCCCAGAACTCAACCTTCTCTTTAAGAGCTACAGAGCCAGTAAGTAATAATCTGATTTCAGACCATTGTACTGCATGGTCGGAGTGTCGTGGTCGAGTGGTTTAAGGCGCTTGACTGGAGATGCGAAGGTCGAGGGTTCGAATCCCGACACGGCACTAATATCCTTTGGCAAGATATTAACCTGCACTTGCTACTCTCCACCCAGGTGTTAAATGGGTACCCGGTAGGATGCGACCGTCATTGTTGGTCAAACAGCTTGTGAGCGTCCAGTAACGCCCGGCTGGAATGCTCCCCAGGGAGTGGAGATTGTGCACACAGTGTGTGCGGGCAAGCACTGAATCCAATGACCGGGGTAATAATATATTTGTAAAGCGCTTAGAGACATTTGTACAAAGCGCTATATAAAAATTAAATATTATTATTATTATTACGCGTTATGCTGCGCAAATAATTAATTTTGGCAATTACAAGAAGTGGGTTATTGATGTAGACAAATGCTCATGTACCTTTTACAGCTCATTATATGTATGCTATTACCAAAGAAGAAAAAAGCCAGTCAGTCAGTCACTCAATAGTGTCTGGCAGTGAAGTCTAGCAAGTAAACAGGTTTTTTCTTGCATAATTTGAATATTAGGACACTGCTAACGTTTAAATTTTACAGATAGGTCATACATGACATATTTAGAATTCCTGCAAAGTTCTACAGAATTTTATATTGGCTACAAAAGGGACATAGTATCTTTAAAAGCAGATGCTCCATTATATTCATTGCCTACAAGAGGTGGGGCTAGGTAGATTTGGTCACAAATATGAACACAATACTTCCACTATTATTGAGTTGTTGGACACTGTTTGGATTCAAGGCCAAGTCCACTCCAAAAAAAACTCACTTTCAATAGAACCAGAGAAATCAGACATACCAGTACCAATCAAAAAAAGTTTGAGCAAAATTGGCAACTCACTCATGAGTCTGTGACGTCATGTTCTCACTATCCACTAATTATTTTCTTTTCTTTTCTTTATATTGATAATATAAATTTTCTATTTTCCCCCTAAGAATCTTATTTCTTCACACCAGCATCCAAGTTAGATTTATAGTAATATGTTGTGTGGATGCACTAAAATAGGGTAATTTTTTCTCCAGTTAAATCATTAAAAAATGTGAATTTTTTAGAAACTATTGATATAAAAATCAATAATTATGAATATACAATATTCAGAAAATGGTATCAATTCTTCAAATTCATAACAAATTTTGTGAAATGTCATGCAAGCAATATGATACAAATCATATAACCTGGGCAAACAAAGGCATGGGGAAATCAAGTTTTGGGGGATAAAAAGGGAAATTAATGGGATTAAACTATATAAAGCAATTGACAAATAGTGAGGACATGACGTCACAAACTGATAACCAAATATCTGATTTTGTTGAACTTTTTTTGATAAGTTTGTCTCATTTTTCTGGTTCTATTAAAGACAAGTTATTTTTGGAGTGGACTTGTACTTTAAAGATATTTTTTGCCAATGTGTTATTATCTTAATTTTGTAAGCAGTGCTGACATCTTTTTCACTATTAGATGCCAATGACGGCGTTGTAATGTGCCACCATTCACTTTGCTGGCCCCAATTGCCTTCTGGCAATCCTTCCTCCCAGGTGTTACTTTAGTAACAAAGTTAACAGAGAAATACTTCTTTAATTCACATATTTCTTCGTGAGTCCACGAACATCTTAACACGGGATCTGCTTTGTTCGCCAACTTCCTTTTCTTTTGCCTTCGCTTACGCTTATCACCAGCAGGAGGTTCATCTTCAGGACCTTGATCTACATCGTCGAGATCTTCACCACTATCTTCGTCATCTGCCTTCCGTTTTTGGGGTAGTAGGTCACCAGCAGAGGTTGCATCCAAAATTTCGCCAAAGGAAATATCTTTCAAGTTCTTTCCAATGTTGTCCTTCTGTACGTTGAGGTCCTGCATAAGGAGGATCTTTCCTACCTGAACCCTCTCAAGGTACGGAGTCATCTGCCTATAATGCTCCATGTGCACCGTCTTTGAGTGGCCTAGATGGCGGTGCACCCAGTCCATCTCGTTATCCTCCAAGTTCAAAACTTGCACAAGTGTTGCCATATATTTCCGTAGGTTAACACTTGTCATCCTCTCTGGAGTTTCCAAACTTGCTCTTTGGCAAGTCCTTCCCATTGCGTCATATGCCCGCATCGTTGATTGCCCTGAGTTAAAAAAAATTCAAAGAAAATCATAGTTTTTATATAATGTAACAACATCTATATTTTGGTACATTTACTAAAAGTTGTCTTTTCCATATAGGAATAGAAAAATTGGGCACATGTTTGGTTGACATGCATGCATGTATAGTAATGTGCATATTGAAGTAAAGGATATTCCTCTGCGCAAACTTCAGATTAAGGAGCTGGCGCAGGTGTGTATGCGCAATTAAAAACAAGGAAGTAATAAAACAAATAACAGAGTGCGCAATAGGTGATCAGCACTACGCGCAGCATAAACAACTGCAATTTTGACAACCAAAATTTGATCACTAAATCATCAAATATATGAAAATCAAAAAGCTAAATCAAAAGACTCATCCTAAAAACGGCTTGTACGCATCCAGATCATCACTCCAGTACCAATCACAGCATAGAAACAAACGCCAAAACGGAAAAAATAAAAGAAACAAGGGAGCTCAGCAGAAAACGTCCGCCCCCACTCGCGGCAGCCCTCATACTACCGTGTGAGTCAAAAAAAAGTTAATTATTTAAAAAATCATCTATGAACAGTAAATTGATAGACATCTTATGGAAGAGTGTTTTATGCCAAATCATTTGGTATCATTTTTGTGTGGTAGGTATTCACGCTTGGATGAACATGAGGCATTGTTTGCGAGAGTGCAAAAATCGACTTGCGCCAAAGTGATGCATACAGTATGTATTATGTTGGGATTAGCAGGGTGAGAGAATGAATTGAATGTATCAAATGAAATGCATTGGATATGCTTTTTGCAGAAGCAAAGTCACATACACACACATGCGCCCGCACAAATGTTCGTTGATATTTGATATTCGATATTTGATATGTGTGGCATGATTGATTTTGTTACGGATGTTATTTGGATCTGCAAAGACCGAATTATACGCAATTCCCAATCGTTATATTCAAACATCACATAAGCAACTTTGGCGCATGTCGATTTTTGCACTCTCGCAAACAATGCCTCCTGTTCATCAAAGCGTGAACACATACGGCACAAAATGATACTAAATGATGCGGGATAAAACACTCTTTCATAAGATGTATAATAGTTTACTGTTCATAGATGATTTGTTTAATAATTAGCAATTTTCTAGGTGTAAACTTTTTTTGACTCACGCTGTATAGGAGTACATTATTGCATACACGCAACGCATCTGCTGCCAGCTGAAAAGGAGGACTTAAATGAGTTTTCAGAATACCAAAAACTCAAGTAGCGCTAATATGAGCTTTTAAATCCCCCCCCCCCCCCCCCCCCCCCCCCCCCCCCCCCTCTCTGGACTGAATGGCCCTTGAATCCAGCTCCTGTGTGTACCTTTACTACAGAATATGGTTAAATTATTAAGATAACAGTTACTGAAGAGATCAAGCAAAACAAACCTTGGTTTGGAAACAAGTACTTGTTCGTTGTATGCACTCCTGCTGCTTTTCTCACATCAGAATTTGCTAAGTATTCCAGAGCTCTTTGTGTGTCCTGTGGAACCAAAACCGGCACCTTCCTTCCTCTCTGCAATATAAATGGTGGTAAAAGAAGCCATATTTTTCCCTTCTTGTAGCAAACCCTTGCCAATGTTCATTGTCCATTTTTTAAATTCAATTCCCATGAACAATAAAAAGAAATCACCTCCTACAAAAATGAACTGTATCTATATTAAATCTTATGCTTAAATCCTGAACCATATACCGATCCTCACTTCGATCCTACCTTTCACCAAATCCGAAATATAGATTGCTAAATATCAAGTTATCACACATTTTATTTACACCCCCCCCCCTCCCGGATTGCCTTGGGTATGCAGCAAGTTGTCCAGGTAGTGTTGACAAAGGTTGTGTTGTCTCAGGGTTTTGTTGTCTTAATGCTCATGTACAGTTTTGGTAGCAAAAAGACAATTGGAATGAAATTGTTCCAATATAGTCTCACATTGTCTGTGTTTCATAACAAAAGTTACCCGAGTGAGATCATGTGATATTCCATTCATGATTTCCTGTGAATATCAGTGTAAATATTTGAAATGAGAACAATGTAACGGTTTCATTCTGCCCTGCGCTAGGACCCCTGCATGCCGATCGCTCTCCGCACAGCGATCACAGCGCTTTGTACATTTGTGGCGTAAACAGAACTCTCACTGGTTTTACATGTGCACAGGCCGATGTGAATTTTCATTTGTTAAATATTCAACTGGAGGAGGAAAAAACTTCTCAGCATCTTAAGTTTTACTTCTTTCTTGCTACTGATTAGCTAAAAGCAAGGAAATCTGACAAATAGTTTTTAAGGGACTACCAAAACTGGAATCAACCTTTAAGCTTTTTATTTGCTTATTCCAAAACATGTAAATCAAACTTACTTTTCCTCTTGTTTCAATGAGATCCTGGGACTGCATCAGGAATTTCTCTGTTTCAGATAACTGCCCAAGGAGAGTTTGGTCAACTTCAGTAGTGCCTACCCTCTGCACATAACTTTTGACACTGGAAAGGAGAAATGAAAGAATGAAGGAGAAGAAATTAAACCATATTCTTCAAAGGAAATACAGTATAACACCATAATTAATACTACTATATAGGAAAGGGATGATAAACTTTGTCAATTGATGTTTCCATAATGAAAAGAGAATATGAAATTATTGATACACATCTTAATTTTCAATGACAGAATTTTTTTCACGATAACAGGGTAACAACCATTTTAATTTTAACAATACAACACTTATGTGTGTATCCAATATCAGATATGCAGGACAAGAACAAAAAGCGGTCAGAAAACAGTTCACCAATATTTACCAATATTTTTGTAAAGTTGGTTAAAAAAACACTATTGTGAGATAATACCATTACAGCCTTTATACAAGTTTTGTCTTTTATACTCACTGTATTGCTTCTATCTCTCCTGACCGTCTCTTATTGTACGTCAGGAGTCTTGTAAGAGCCAGACATCCAACCTCCTGAAAGTCAATCCACGATGTTCTCTGGTAATCTAGTTGTGAAAGCTTGTCTCTTATATATCTCGACATTTTTTCCACATCCTCGGGTCTTGGAAGTTGTTGTTGCACATTCATCCTTCTCTCCTGCAAGATCTTCCTGGCAAGTCTTGTGACTTTGTCTCCATAATCATGCCTCAAAGCAGCAATAAAACCTTCTGACTCCTCTTTGGCATCTTTCCATTTGGTCTCCTTGGTCCTGTCATACTCTTTGATAGCAAAGATGCATTTGCTGTGGGCCATCCGTTCCAGATCATACTTCATTTTGATAGCAGTGGAGGGACTTTTGAGGTCCTCTTCATCATCCATTGTTCTCATGGCCATATCTAGAGAAGCTTCGACAACAAGATCTACATGTGTAGGGCGAAGAAGCCCCCACATGTCTAAGGACTTCATAGAGGCATCACGTTCACGCACTTGCATCAATAACTTGCTACAATCCCGCATCCGCTGTGATGCATAATATTTCCTCTTGGTTTCGTTAGCAATGTTCCTTCGAAGATAGGATTCTCCCACGGCTATGATCAGTGGGTCTTGCTGAGCAATGTAGCTTTTCTCATCAACTCTCATGATTGTAAATACCTCATTCCTTAAAAGGGTTGATGCCTTTGCACTTATTCTATTGCTGAGAATTTTGCTTTGGATAATTAAAGAACCTTTTCCTGTTGATGAATCCTTTGGCTTGAGCTTCCTTCCAGAGCATGTCTTCTGGTGTTTGGGGAGGGAATTCAGCTTCAGCCACTCAAGGCACTCTGGGCATGGCCCATACATTCTGTGGTCAAATTCTCCTGTTGGGCGTCGATATAATATCAGTTCACCTTTCTGCTGGTTGAACACTTTCAAGTTGTGTTTGTGATCTCCTCTAGCTCTTAGGATGTCTTGCCTGCTCTCCTTTCCTCTCTGATCACCATCCATGTTAATCATTTCTAATACATCATCTTCTTGTGAATGTTTAGCCAGCGTATGTATGGGGATATGCTGAACAATCTTCCCGCAATAAAAGCAAGCATGGACAGCGTTTTGAACCCTGTTTGATTTCTTTTTTTTCCCACTTCTCTGATCAAAGGATGATTTCTGTATTTTTCGTATGAAAATGTTGCTCACATTCTTATCTCGTAGGATGCAGTCGTCACTGACTTCACAGAACTCTTCACCATCACTTTCGCCGTCTTCACTGGATGCATATGAATATTGTCTCAGAGAAGCGTTTTCCTTGTCTTTGTTGGATGTACATGTATGTGTCTCACTAGAATCACTTTCTCTGTCCTTATTTGATGCACATTTATGTCTCCAGCTCGAATTACTTTCACTGTCTGTTTCATCTTCCTCTGAATGTGAAGGTGGGACATATTCTGACCCACTATCTGATTCTAAAACAGAATATCTTTCCTGGCGTCTTTTTAGAGTTTTCAGGCTTCTTCTTAGAGGAGAACTTTGGTCCATCTCATCTTCAGTATTCTGCCTTGCTTGGGCATGGTTCGTCTCATCTTCAGTACTCTGCCTTACTTGGGCATGGTTCGTCTCATCTTCAGTACTCTGCCTTACTTGGGCATGGTTCGTCTCATCTTCAGTACTCTGCCTTGCTTGGGCATGGTTCGTCTTATCTTCAGTACTCTGCCTTACTTGGGCATGGTTCGTCTTATCTTCAGTACTCTGCCTTACTTGGGCATGGTTCGTCTCATCTTCAGTACTCTGCCTTACTTGGGCATGGTTCGTCTCATCTTCAGTACTCTGCCTTACTTGGGCATGGTTCGTCTTATCTTCAGTACTCTGCCTTGCTTGGGCATGGTTCGTCTCATCTTCAGTACTCTGCCTTGCTTGGGCATGGTTCGTCTCATCTTCAGTACTCTGCCTTGCTTGGGCATGGTTCGTCTCATCTTCAGTACTCTGCCTTGCTTGGGCATGGTTCGTCTCATCTTCAGTACTCTGCCTTACTTGGGCATGGTTCGTCTCATCTTCAGTACTCTGCCTTACTTGGGCATGGTTCGTCTCATCTTCAGTACTCTGCCTTACTTGGGCATGGTTCGTCTCATCTTCAGTACTCTGCCTTACTTGGGCATGGTTCGTCTCATCTTCCGTACTCTGCCATACTTGGGCATGGTTCGTCTCATCTTCAGTACTCTGCCTTACTTGGGCATGGTTCGTCTCATCTTCAGTACTCTGCCTTACTTGGGCATGGTTCGTCTCATCTTCAGTACTCTGCCTTACTTGGGCATGGTTCGTCTCATCTTCAGTACTCTGCCTTACTTGGGCATGGTTTGTCTCATCTTCAGTACTCTGCCTTACTTGGGCATGGTTCGTCTCATCTTCAGTACTCTGCCTTACTTGGGCATGGTTCGTCTCATCTTCCATACTCTGCCTTACTTGGGCATGGTTCGTCTCATCTTCAGTACTCTGCCTTGCTTGGGCATGGTTCGTCTCATCTTCAGTACTCTGCCTTACTTGGGCATGGTTCGTCTCATCTTCAGTACTCTGCCTTACTTGGGCATGGTTCGTCTTATCTTCAGTACTCTGCCTTGCTTGGGCATGGTTCGTCTCATCTTCAGTACTCTGCCTTACTTGGGCATGGTTCGTCTCATCTTCAGTAATCTGCCTTACTTGGGCATGGTTCGTCTCATCTTCAGTAATCTGCCTTGCTTGGGCATGGTTCGTCTCATCTTCAGTACTCTGCCTTGCTTGGGCATGGTTCGTCTTATCTTCAGTACTCTGCCTTGCTTGGGCATGGTTCGTCTTATCTTCAGTACTCTGCCTTACTTGGGCATGGTTCGTCTTATCTTCAGTACTCTGCCTTGCTTGGGCATGGTTCGTCTCATCTTCAGTACTCTGCCTTACTTGGGCATGGTTCGTCTCATCTTCAGTACTCTGCCTTACTTGGGCATGGTTCGTCTCATCTTCAGTACTCTGCCTTACTTGGGCATGGTTCGTCTCATCTTCAGTACTCTGCCTTACTTGGGCATGGTTCGTCTCATCTTCAGTACTCTGCCTTACTTGGGCATGGTTTGTCTCATCTTCAGTACTCTGCCTTACTTGGGCATGGTTCGTCTCATCTTCAGTACTCTGCCTTGCTTGTGCCCCACATCCATTTTTAACTATGAAAAAGAAAGAAAAGAAAAGATATGGGTCAGCCCACGTCTAATCACCTGACTGTGTTAACCAAATGTTTCCCAATGTGTTTCAAGGAGGAATATGAAAAATTATGATTAAGAATTAAGATCATTCAGTTGCCAAGCTACAGCCTCAACCAATGCACTGTCCGTAAATCATTTTTTTTTTAAATTGAACATTAAGCTAAAGTCAATGAGAGAAGTGAATGTATCTGTTCTCTATTAAAGAACTTTTTGATGTAGGAAGAAAGATAATTATTTTTAGGCACGTAATTTCGTATTGAAAGGCTTCTGCCTGCCTACTACTCCTTCAATTTTAACAAGTATATTTATTTCATAAATTCATTTCATTTCAAAACGGTTTATCAAAAATACTTTCATTGTGGCAAAGCTGAATTAAGAAGTTTACAAGACATTTCAAAAACACAATGACTATAGATTTAAAAAAAATTATATTAAATCAGCAGTATATAACATTAAATATAGCTCATATTAACATATCATAAAAAAGAGATATTGGAATCATAACAAATTAAAAACTGATAACATATTTCTTTTTCTATAATTGTGACAATTGAAACTGTACACAATCACCATGGAATTGAACTTAAATACTGTGGATGAATTTTACTATCACAACAACTGTAACTAAAGTGACATGTTGCTAAGGCACGAGATATTTATTATTGCTGTCGTTCCGATGCAGGATCCTGCAATGCGCGCTGCAGAACGATCGGCGGAATGATTAGTGACAGGAGTACAAATATTATACAACACTGCGCCAGAACGCGACGGCGTGATAATCGTCCGACTGCAGTAGGATGCATCGATTTATTATATCCACGCAGCGCTGGCAAGCCGGTACACTGTACATGCACACGACACAAAATTATATATCGAGTGTCCCGACATTGACATTTCTATATTATAAACAAGTCGGAATTAAAATAACTTCTACCACAGCTGTAGGTGTGTTTATAAACATGACATTTACAAATAATTTCTACATACAATCATGCGTTTGTTTATAATAATTTCTTCTAAGACCGTGTGTTTGTTTATGAGCATCACAGAGTTAATATAATTTCTACCACAATTGCATGTGTGTAATTTGTCTATAAACATGACGGAGTTAAAATAATTTCTACTACAACTGTTTGGTTGTTTTTAAACATGACAGAGTTAAAAATAATTCTTCTAAACGTGTGTTTGTTTATAGACATGACAGAGTTTTAACTTCTACTACAAATTCTGTGAGTTTGTTTAAGCCTCACAGAGTTAATATAATTTCTACCACAATTGCATGTGTGTAATTTGTTTATAAACATGACATTTAAAAATAAGTTCTACTACAATCATGCATTTGTTTATAAAACATGATGTAGTTAAAATAATTTCTACTACAACTACTGGTATTTGGTTGTTTTTAAACATGACAGAGTTTAAAATTATTTCTTCTAAGACCATGTTTTTGTTTATAAACATGACAGAGTTTAAATAACTTCTACTACGAATTCTGTGCATTTTTTTATAAGCATGACAAAAGTTCAAGTAATTTCTACTGCTACAAGTACAACTGTGCGTTTGTTTATAAAATGACAGAGTGAAATAAATTGTACTTCCACCGCGCTTTTGTTCATGACAGAGTTAAAATAATTTCCACTACAACTGTGCGTTGGTTATAAATGCGACAAAATGATTTCTACTAAATCTACATCCGAACACACATGACAGAGTTATGATAGAATTTCTAGGTCATCACAACTGAACCCAATGCTATATCCACACACACAAAAACAACCACGTGCTCAGCTCATGTCCAACATACTGCTTGAGCGTACGTTGGTGGGCGGTGTTAATTGCAAGCCTGTGCCAATCGTTATTCAGCTTTGAGACTTAATTTCTTTAAAAGTTTATCCATTCAGAATGTTAATGAAGTGCTACTTTATATCCAAATCATAATGAAACTGTCTTCGACTCCAAAAGGGTTGAGGGAAAGTGGTACTTAGTACTGTAACCCTTCTTACTTTTTTGACAATGAGATTGCCTACAAGTATAAGGCTATGCTTGCTCTGTGCGTGGAGTGGTATGCGACAAATTTCTTTCAGCAAAGGGCCATCCAGGGAGGGGGGGGGGGGGAAGGGGTATTCTGATGTGAAATATTTTCAATCAAAAGTCGCTACCATGTTCTACTTCATTTTCTTTTTCTTTCGTAATTTTTGGAATTCTTTCATATAAATAAGTCATGACCTTTTTATATAGGTATGCAAATTTTATATTTTTGACGTAATCTCAAAGGGGCGAGTTAAAAGCACACAGCTATGATTACAATTTGGCAAATCCAAATTCATAATTACTATCATTTCGTCTACAACTAGTTCATCTAACAAGGAGTTACACCTCAAGAGTCTGTTGGCCATTCTGATAGGCCATGATTTCTTGTGGAATATGGAGACTTTTTGCGATCGGGGGCGGGGGAGGGGGGGGGGGGGAGGGAGGGGAACTGAATTTACACAAGGATTAATAGTCGAGAAAGGTACAAGGAATCGTCTTCTTTCTCTTATGATTTATTGAAATGTCAAAGCTTGTAAAACCCATCGATCTATAGCTTGGAATTAAAACTAATCAGGAATAATCTCAATCACATTACTCTGCAATTCCAACGCTAGCTAGCTAGCTCACTCCATTTGGCTTGCGCCTATACCATGCGCGGAACTAGCCAACGTGGCTAGATAGGCTGCGAGTACGTAGTGGCTCACTAGTGTCTTCAGCTAGCGCATCCTTTTATGATTGCTGTGCGCACTGACATTCGTCCTCTTGCGTCACGATGATTTCAATCTAATAATTAAATTTGGAGACTGCAGTCAGGCAAAGTGCGCGTACCAAATCGGCGCCGAGCGTTCCATGCGGGATCCTGCATCGGAACGACAGCAAAAATAAATAATAATAAATAAATAATAAATCTCATGCCTAACAAAGGTCATGTTGCTAACAAACAAACAAACCACCAATCGTATTGATAGACAAAAAACAAAAACATTTCCTATTAAGATGAGGTGGCTTGCTGCTTAAATACTTACCCTGCTGTTGAACCCAATTCACATCCTCTAAGAAAAGTACTTCTGTGTTGAATTGCCTCTTTTTCCTGAGAATAGCTGGAATTATAAAATAAAATAAATAAACAAAAATGTTCATCAGTACTACTTGTATATAGGGAACCAGTATTAGGCAGGAACAAGCTGCTGAGGACTTTTTGGAGTGACTTTTCAATTTCCAAAAGAATTGAATAGGCCTAATGAAAAAAGAATAATGATCAAATGCTGCTTATTACAGCTCAATTTAGATTAATTGTTATTAAGAAATCATTCAACATGTGTTCAGTCCACAATAATCTTCCCTACAGTGAAATATATATATTATTAATGCCAAAAAATTATACACAAAATATTTATAAAATCACAGGAGTTTCCTCATACTATGTAGTATCCCAGCTTGTAACACTCATTAGCACTAAATAAATTTAGTCTCTTCATGTAGCTTTGATAGTCTTCATTTGGAAGTACATTCTTTACATGTAGGTACTAAGCAAATAATTTGATTTGAAAATGTATGATTGGACTACATGTAATAGCTCAAGTATGAAGTGGACACACATTAACTTTCAATTCAACACAAAAATAATTACCTCTAAATTCAAACCGGGAATATTTGACAAAATCAAATCTGAAACACATGCTTCAATGATCAAAGTCTTGATCGTTCATTTTTTGAAAAAATATCGCTATTGTTTTCTAGTTAATTAAGAACAAGGGAAACACTCTCGGCGGTCTCGCCTGCATTACGCAATTCGATATGATGAAAAATTTACACACCTAAATATCACAGATTCACGGATTCACAGCTTAGATTAATTAGTAATCAGCTTGAGCCACGCGATCATCACCAAGAAAGTTATGGTAACTTTGAAACCATTCAAAAGAGGTGTGTAAAGACACCTCAAAATTACTAATTTAATACAACCAGAGATTCACAGACGAAACAATAAGACGATAAGCCGGTGTAAGTAACGTGATTATTACCATCAACCTTGGATAACCTGTGAAACCAATCGATAAAGGTGCTTACAAGACCAAATAATTACTTATTTATCACCACCATCGGTTAACGGATAAAAAACTTGTTGCTTGGTAAAGGGTTATGTTGTCATAAACACTTGATTTACAGAGGTAAGTGGAATCACGTTACTCCAGTCGCATTTAAAATCACTTAAAATACACTCCCAAAAGAGGTTATTTTTAGTGTTCTGTTTATTGGGCAAGCACCACCCACCTATCAGCAAAGGTGACATGGTATTACTATTGATTCAAAACAGTTTAGACACAAACACACCCGATAGTCTGCGAAAGAAAGTCTTCATAGACGTAATGAATATCTTCACTGTCAGTTCTATTCTTTGCGTTGTATGATTGTTCATATGTACTGTCATTATTGTGATGTGTTGCTAATTATAAATTCAAATTCAAACCAGCTTGAGGCTTTCACCAAGGAAGGTTGGGCCAACATATCACCGGAGACATGCCGACTCTCTTGACTTGGATAGGGGTATATAGATAATGTTTTTTCTGCCACACAAGCCTGAATTTTCATGTAGGGTTTTAGAATATTGTGCACATGCAGCTGCCTCGATCCCACGTCACAATAAATTGCACTGCATATTGCACTGATATTCGCATAATAAAAAAAAAACAGGCACTACTTTGATCTATACATGTATAGATAATCGCTGCCATGAGGAGGAATTCACTCAGGTAGCAGTGAACCCGATAGCAAAATTCACTACAACAAATCACAAACCACCACCACGACTAGAGAAAAAGCAGCTGAAAAAACATAGTTTGACAAAATGGCTGCTTCCAGTGGTGACCGTGGTGAAATAGCTGCCGACTATCCCCGTTTTCACCTGTTAAATGTGGAAGGATTGTTAACATTTAATGAAGGAAGTGACATCGTGAGTCACACGAACGAGGAGAAAGGCCCCCAAAATTGGAAGCAAGTGCATGCCTGAACTGCACATTGAACACAGAAACAGGTCGTGCCCGGCGATAAATGAAAGGTGCCGGGCATGTGGAGAAATTGGACATTTTTCAAAATCACCGCGATGTACCGAACACCGAAACCAAGGAAGACAACAGCAGAGAAACCGACATGATAACCGCCGCCGGGATGTGGAGTACATCGACCGGCACTGTCAAACATTACTAAAGTTATCGATCGGAAACCAAATTTGTTACGAACGTAAGGACAGACGGCAGCGTTACTATATCCCCTCCGACTTCGTCAGCAAGGGGATAATAAGTACATGATTCTTATCATGGAATTGTCAAAATAACATATAAAACAAAAACACAGAATATACAAGTTAAAAAGAAATGCAAAAAGCATCTGGAACAAGCAAATGAATTGATAAAACTCGAACTCAAATATGAGGGGAAAATAATTACTTGTTCCTTCATTTATCCAGTAGTCTACATTTCCTTCAAATGGAATGACATCTCTTGGGGTGAACCTGCAAAAACAATATCAATCATGGATACAACAAATTTGGCCGACAGTTAAAAAAGTAAATTCATAAATATTAGCATGTATCTTGATTCCTCATTTGATATAATGTGTCAATTTACTATGTAGAATGCATTTTGGCACACCACTGACAGAGCTGCCAACCTTGTGCGACCAAAAAAAGGAATCATGATGGCAAAAAAAAAGGAATTTCAAGCAAAAAAAAAGGAATTAATTAAAACGAAAATTACAACCACGCGCGACACACTTCCAATGCAGAAATGTTCATTCATCATGCGGTTTTTTCCATACAAGCAGGTAATTTTTTTGGTAGTTATTTTGGTAATATCGGCATTTCATTTTTTGTGAGAATATTTTTCGCGTCAAGTATGTTTTAAAGTTAGTTTTCTATTAAATTTGTGATCAAATCACCATTTTAGGGCAGTTGTTTGACGTGCGGTATGTAAAAAAAAAAAAAAAAAATTTAAAAAAATAAAAAAAATAAAAAAAAACAATTAAAAAACGTATTTTATGAAATAAAAACGTAATACCGTAATTTGGAGGAAAAATTTGGAGGAAAAAACGGAGTAATTCCGGCAAAAACTGAATGGTTGGCAGCTCTGCACTGAGTAGCTGGCTTTTAGAGCGCACACAAGAAATGTGAGGCAGCATGCTACCGCTGAATCAAAGTATCCTCCAAATTCATCGGCCAGAGATTACATAATATGATAAAATAGACTTACTCTGCGTGATCAGCTCTGCAGTAAACAATTTTGCCTGGGACTAACACTTGTACAGGCCATCTGACAGAAACTCCGTGCAGTTTTGCCCAGCCAAACTCTATATAAAGGTAAAAGATTAAAACAGTTCTTTATGTCTGTACACGTACATGTAGTTGTTATGGCCATCAGTTAATGTAATGAAAAAACAATTCTCAAAATTTGACATCCTCATGTATGCATTCACATGTACACAAGAACATCCCTAATTAAAAGTATTGCTTGAAAGAAAACAGGCAGTGTTATGCATGATTGCATGTATTACTGAGTGTAACTACATGTATGTGTGACACTGTCTACTTTAATTCAAGCATTAATATTGATAGACTTCTGAAGGCATGGCAAATCTATTCCATGGTAAATATGTCAATATAAGCTTAAGAACCGCTTTCAAAGTCATGAAAATTAGGGATGGTGTGGCAGAAATACATTATCAATTTTTATACAACACCTATGTGGATCTTTGTTATTTGATTGGAGGATTGTTGGTCACATGATATTAAATATATGTTATATTGCACGGGCGAGCATTTTTGGTTATATGCGTCGTGCATTTTTGGTTATATGCAGACTGCGTACCTCTCTGCCCTGCGAGTATCCCTGCGTGTATCTGACGCGAAGGCAATCTGAATGTAATCGAGAAGGCTCACTCTAACTTTAATTTATCTTTAATATAAGGAGTAAAGCATAATTTGTTGATTAACGTTCTATTAGATCTTCTTTGATGTTGTATAAAACATGTAATGAATGTTTTTCATTCGTTTAATAGTGTGAATATTTTCATTCGTTGAAAGATTAACATTAATTCTATTCAACTCATGAAAATATTTGTACTATTGAACTCATAACCATTGCATAGCAGGATGATACCAAATCATCTACCCCTGTCCAAGTCAAGAAAACAAGGGCTTGTGTGGCAGAAAGACATTACATGTATTACATACCTCTGTCCAAGTCAAGAAAATTAAGGCTTGTGTGGCAGAAAGACATTACTTGTATTATATACCTCTGTCCAAGTCATGAAAATTAAGGCTTGTGTGGCAGTAAGACATTATTGTCTACCCCTGTCCAAGTCAAGAAAATGAGGGCTTGTGTGGCAGAAAGACATTACATACATGTATTATATACCTCTGTCCAAGTCATGAAAATTAAGGCTTGTGTGGCAGTAAGACATTATTGTCTACCCCTGTCAAAGTCAAGAAAATTAAGGCTTGTGTGGCAGAAAAACATTACGTGTATTATATACCTCTGTCCAAGTCATGAAAATTAAGGCTTGTGTGGCAGTAAGACATTACATGTATTATATACCCCTGGCCAAGTCAAGAAGATTAAGGCTTGTGTGGCAGTAAGACATTATTGTCTACCCCTGTCCAAGTCAAGAAAATTAAGGCTTGTGTGGCAAAAAAACATTACATGTATTATATACCTCTGTCCAAGTCAAGAAAATTTGGGCTTGTGTGGCAGAAAGACATTACATGTATTATATACCTCTGTCCAAGTCATGAATATTAAGGCTTGTGTGGCAGTAAGACATTATTGTCTACCCCTGTCCAAGTCATTAAAACGAGGGCTTGTGTGGCAGAAAGACATTACATGTATTATACACATGTACCTCTGTCCAAGTCAAGAAAATTAGGGCTTGTGTGGCAGAAAGACATTACATGTATTATATACCTCTGTCCAAGTCATGGAAATTAAGGCTTGTGTGGCAGAAAGACATAACATGTATTATATACCCCTGTCCAAGTCAAGAAAATTAAGGCTTGTGTGGCAGTAAGACATTATTGTCTACCCCTGTCCAAGTCAAGAAAATTAGGGCTTGTGTGGCAGAAAGACATTACATGTATTATATACCTCTGTCCAAGTCATGAAAATTAAGGCTTGTGTGGCAGTAAGACATTATTGTCTACCCCTGTCCAAGTCAAGAAAATGAGGGCTTGTGTGGCAGAAAGATATTACATGTATTATATACCTCTGTCCAAGTCATGAAAATTAAGGCTTGTGTGGCAGAAAGACATTACATGTATTATATACCCTGTCCAAGTCAAGAAAATTAAGGCTTGTGTGGCAGTAAGACATTATTGTCTACCCCTGTCCAAGTCAAGAAAATTAACGCTTGTGTGGCAGTAAGACATTATTGTCTACCCCTGTCCAAGTCAAGAAAATGAGGGCTTGTGTGGCAGAAAGACATTACATGTATTATATACCTCTGTCCAAGTCATGAAAATTAAGGCTTGTGTGGCAGAAAAACATTACATGTATTATATCCCTCTGTCCAAGTCATGAAAATTAAGGCTTGTGTGGCAGAAAGACATTACATGTATTATATACCCCTGTCCAAGTCAAGAAGATTAAGGCTTGTGTGGCAGAAAGACATTATTGTCTACCCCTGTCCAAGTCAAGAAAATTAAGGCTTGTGTGGCAAAAAAAACATTACATGTATTATATACCTCTGTCCAAGTCAAGAAAATTTGGGCTTGTGTGGCAGAAAGACATTACATGTATTATATACCTCTGTCCAAGTCATGGATATTAAGGCTTGTGTGGCAGTAAGACATTATTGTCTACCCCTGTCCAAGTCATTAAAACGAGGGCTTGTGTGGCAGAAAGACATTACATGTATTATACACATGTACCTCTGTCCAAGTCAAGAAAATTAGGGCTTGTGTGGCAGAAAGACATTACATGTATTATATACCTCTGTCCAAGTCATGGAAATTAAGGCTTGTGTGGCAGAAAGACATAACATGTATTATATACCCCTGTCCAAGTCAAGAAAATTAAGGCTTGTGTGGCAGTAAGACATTATTGTCTACCCCTGTCCAAGTCAAGAAAATTAGGGCTTGTGTGGCAGAAAGACATTACATGTATTATATACCTCTGTCCAAGTCATGAAAATTAAGGCTTGTGTGGCAGTAAGACATTATTGTCTACCCCTGTCCAAGTCATGAAAATTAAGGCTTGTGTGGCAGAAAGACATTACATGTATTATATACCCCTGTCCAAGTCAAGAAAATTAAGGCTTGTGTGGCAGTAAGACATTATTGTCTACCCCTTTCCAAGTCAAGAAAATTAGGGCTTGTGTGGCAGAAAGACATTACATGTATTATATACCTCTGTCCAAGTCATGAAAATTAAGGCTTGTGTGGCAGTAAGACATTATTGTCTACCCCTGTCCAAGTCAAGAAAATGAGGGCTTGTGTGGCAGAAAGACATTACATGTATTATATACCTCTGTCCAAGTCATGAAAATTAAGGCTTGTGTGGCAGAAAAACATTACATGTATTATATCCCTCTGTCCAAGTCATTAAAATTAAGGCTTGTGTGGCAGAAAGACATTACATGTATTATATACCCCTGTCCAAGTCAAGAAAATTAAGGCTTGTGTGGCAGTAAGACATTATTGTCTACCCCTGTCAACGTCAAGAAAATTAAGGCTTGTGTGGCAGAAAAACATTACATGTATTATATACCTCTGTCCAAGTCATGAAAATTAAGGCTTGTGTGGCAGTAAGACATTACATGTATTATATACCTCTGTCCAAGTCAAGAAAATTAACGCTTGTGTGGCAGAAAAACATTACATGTATTATATACCTCTGTCCAAGTCATGAAAATTAAGGTTTGTGTGGCAGTAAGACATTATTGTCTACCCTGTCCAAGTCAAGAAAACAAGGGCTTGTGTGGCAGAAAGACATTACATGTATTATATACCTCTGTCCAAGTCAAGAAAATTAAGGCTTGTGTGGCAGAAAGACATTACTTGTATTATATACCTCTGTCCTAGTCATGAAAATTAAGGCTTGTGTGGCAGTAAGACATTATTGTCTACCCCTGTCCAAGTCAAGAAAATGAGGGCTTGTGTGGCAGAAAGACATTACATACATGTATTATATACCTCTGTCCAAGTCATGAAAATTAAGGCTTGTGTGGCAGTAAGACATTATTGTCTACCCCTGTCAAAGTCAAGAAAATTAAGGCTTGTGTGGCAGAAAAACATTACGTGTATTATATACCTCTGTCCAAGTCATGAAAATTAAGGCTTGTGTGGCAGTAAGACATTACATGTATTATATACCCCTGTCCAAGTCGAGAAGATTAAGGCTTGTGTGGCAGTAAGACATTATTGTCTACCCCTGTCCAAGTCAAGAAAATTAAGGCTTGTGTGGCAAAAAAACATTACATGTATTATATACCTCTGTCCAAGTCAAGAAAATTTGGGCTTGTGTGGCAGAAAGACATTACATGTATTATATACCTCTGTCCAAGTCATGGATATTAAGGCTTGTGTGGCAGTAAGACATTATTGTCTACCCCTGTCCAAGTCAAGAAAATTAACGCTTGTGTGGCAGTAAGACATTATTGTCTACCCCTGTCCAAGTCAAGAAAATGAGGGCTTGTGTGGCAGAAAGACATTACATGTATTATATACCTCTGTCCAAGTCATGAAAATTAAGGCCTGTGTGGCAGAAAAACATTACATGTATTATATCCCTCTGTCCAACTCATGAAAATTAAGGCTTGTGTGGCAGAAAGACATTACATGTATTATATACCCCTGTCCAAGTCAAGAAAATTAAGGCTTGTGTGGCAGTAAGACATTATTGTCTACCCCTGTCCAAGTCAAGAAAATTAGGGCTTGTGTGGCAGAAAGACATTACATGTATTATATACCTCTGTCCAAGTCATGAAAATTAAAGACAAGGTTGAGTTCTGGGAAGAGGTGAAAAATAATTTGTGAGCATTACTCATTCTTATTATGCAAGTGTGGAAGAACATCAGTTAAGACATGTTCCCTGAAAAGCATGGCTCTTCAAATGCCTTCATATTCTAAATATACATGTAACGTCGTAAAAATCGGGGGGCCGGCTTTTTACGCCACATGTTTGTGTAGTCCCATATACATCTTTCTGTGCAAGTGTTTGTAACTTTACCAAGACTTGGCCAAATTTCTTATCATTTTGATGATTCCAGAACCTTGCAATACACACAAATTCTTATATGCTAGATGATCAACATTTTCTGGTCGGTTCCACACCGTTTCTTTCACAATGCAATCG